GCTAATTTTTAATTTGATGTGGGATAATGGGAAAACTAGATGACCTTATAAAACAGTCTTGCCTTACTAATAGTGAAAATTAATACGTATTAAAGCCACCAAGCGGATTTAGCAGAGGAATGGTGTGGCTCCCATTTTGCGGACAATATGTTGGTGACTTTTGGCCAGCTTACAATACATTACAGTTTTTATCTGTCGAGCAGCTGGGCTACATTTCGCCATTCGTTAAATGATTACTTTGTAGCCGCAGTGGAATTCATGTTTCAATCCACTCTGTGCTCCTTAACGAAAAGTTACCGTTCATTCAACACGAAGTATTTGTATTAGATGACATGGTCTCACGTGTTCATGCATATTTGAGTGCAAGTAATTAGTCATAGAATATTTCAGGCCTCCGACATCCGATGCAGCATTAATTTAGCAGTCATGGCCTCTATACAAGGTTTCTTACGTTTGTGTTTTTTTGAATTTCAGTCTGGTTTTACCAGCGTTTCCAAACTTTTGGTTGTCACTTTCAAACGAACTGCAAGCATTTCCGGTTGTGGTTTGTTCTGCTGCAGTGAATTAGACGAACTCTTAAAAATTTTATGGGACGTTTTAAAGAAACAGCATTGATTTGCTCACGTTTGCCATACACTGTACGGATTTAGCAGAGGAATGGTATGGCTCCCATTTTGCGGACAATGTGTTGGTGACTTTTGGCCAGCTTACAATACATTACAGTTTTTATCTGTCGAGCAGCTGGGCTACATTTCGCCATTCGTTAAATGATTACTTTGTAGCCGCAGTGGAATTCATGTTTCAATCCACTCTGTGCTCCTTAACGAAAAGTTACCGTTCATTCAACACGAAGTATTTGTATTAGATGACATGGTCTCACGTGTTCATGCATATTTGAGTGCAAGTAATTAGTCATAGAATATTTCAGGCCTCCGACATCCGATGCAGCATTAATTTAGCAGTCATGGCCTCTATACAAGGTTTCTTACGTTTGTGTTTTTTTGAATTTCAGTCTGGTTTTACCAGCGTTTCCAAACTTTTGGTTGTCACTTTCAAACGAACTGCAAGCATTTCCGGTTGTGGTTTGTTCTGCTGCAGTGAATTAGACGAACTCTTAAAAATTTTATGGGACGTTTTAAAGAAACAGCATTGATTTGCTCACGTTTGCCATACACTGTAAGAAAACATCAGAGGGTGAATTGGAGATTCAGCATGTTGGTTGTAGGCTATTTTCGTATCCATTTGCACCGTGCCGTTTTGTTAATTGATATTTCCGGAATAAGAATAAGTTCATCGGAATTAATTTTCATAAGACCGTTTGTGCTATTAACACTAGGGCGTTTTCAGCAAATTGGTAGTTGATATTTACTACCTAAATCAATACTATTCATTCGTTATCTACATATAGCACAACATGGCCCATTTCGAACAGGGTTGTGATTTATAAGGTTCAGCGATACATCCGATTTAATTAGAGTCCCGTGTCACCAGGTATTTTTGTGTTTGTTTACTTACGTCGACAGTCAATTCATAGCTCTGCAAGATAGCTCTATGGTTGCCGAAATCGATCAGTATTTACATAATCCATAGCTGCATGATCCTAAGTGAATAGGAGTTTTCCGCACATGAACTGAATTGCATGCTATCCTCGGTGGATGCGGGACCAGTCGAATGTACGAATGTATAGACCATGACGTGTTTAATGATCGGTTGTTTCCTCTAGATTACTCATCAAAATTAGTTAGTTGCTTCGTGATAAAAGAAAGGTTGATAAAAGGAAAATTGCTTTGATCAGTTAGAATTATACTGCTATTCTTAAAGCCCGATGATAGAAAATTTCATCAGATTTCATCCAAAAATGTGGAAGAGGATACCAATTTTTCCATTTTTTCAGTCGATTGTCCAAGGTTTTTCCAAGCTGAGCGCTTTTGTTGGAAACGCCCTATCACCTCGACTCGGTACTTATGACGTGACAATTACGACGAAGTTAGTTGTTTGCAACCTGATGCACAACAATCCTGATGACTTACTATACTTTGGAAACCGAAAATACTCATAATCTCTATGAAGGCTGACCACCACTCGTGCTACAAGTTGAGTGTGAACACTTGTGTGTGTTGTACGTTTTTTTAATTCAACACTGAGGTATTTTGTCAGGACCATAATACGTTCAAGCATCTGACCGTGAATCCCATTATTATTTTAAAAAAAGGAGAGGATTTTATAGCCTGTAACTAACTGCGCATACCAGAAAAACGTTCCTAACCCTGAATCATACAGTGCCGGTAAATTCTGTAAAACATGGAGCTTGTATGCTAATCCCCTCGAGGAGCCGTGGTTGCTCAGACATTGCTCAGACGGACTTTGGTCTTAAGTCAAGCTTAACACATCAGTCGTTATTAGTTGCTGCAGCGCCTGCAGTTTACGTGGCCGAAATCTTAGCAAGAAAATAGTTAGTTGCGTGGATGGACAGTTTTCGATTTCCAAGTCACGTGACCAGGTTATATCTAATTATCGGGGTACTTTTGTACTATCCTATTCACACACAATCTAATAATGATTGGTTGAGCTCAAACTGTGTACCAGGTTTATCGCAGACAACGAGAACATCCTTATTGGAAAATTACTAATATTATAAACTTGATAAGTGGTGTGTTATTGTTTTCAGGATATCGCTGAGAAAAACCAAACTCTGCAGGACGATGCGTGCAGAAGCGTTTCTCAATCGCAATCAGCACCTACAACTGACTGATTTCTTGCAACCAGATTTTAAAGCACACATTAGTTGTCAGGTTACTGGGACGTTTCTGTAAATTACGAACTTCGCATACTTGCCTATGTGTTTAGCAGCTATACAGGTCTGTAAAACACTTAAACTCTTGCATCTTACTGGTATCACAGATACTTATTTGAATCATCTCTGGGCCTAGAAATATTTGCATTAATGATCGACCGAAATCCATCGAGAACTACAAAAGTAGCAAAAACTGTAAGAACCTTGTTGTTTAATGATTTTTAGTCCAGATATGCTTTATCATGTCCACTCGTTGTGACCGTTTTTCGGGACTCAATTATCACTGCAAGCAAAACTTAGGATGATCAATGCACTGAATGATTGGTTTTATAAGACCGGTTTACTAATCCTCCTGTTTTCTTTAGTTCATTATAGACTGGAGGATATGTGTTAATGCTTCAAACATTTTCGATTCCTGAAAGGAACTTTTAATACGGACAGAGAGCACGATAGCAAATTCATATCTGGTTTTCGTCCAAGGAGAGAATTACTGCACGCATCCTCACATCTGAAACTTCGGACCACGGTAAGAGCCGCTTTAGGTACATTTTCTCATTAGTTCACTACCGACCAGCACGGAATACTCTCGATGTTTACTAACCTAAATGCACCTGCAAATTTCGATCAGTCCTGAATTTAGGCAACTTACCTAGAAGCCTTTCTCTTGTAAAAACTAAAAGTTGGAGTATTTTTGAATAAATTCTGATGAATTCCCCAAAATAAAATGACTTAGCACCACAAGATACGTGTGATTTCATTATTTTCCTCATACTGGACAACAGGACTCACCTTCGACTGTGAAATTTGTTTACAAAAATGCAAAGGATTAAATACCAACTTTTGGAAAATGCAACCAAGTCGATTGATCTCTTAAAGCAGTCAAACAAACTGTGATTTCAGGACCCCCTAGCAAAAGAGACTGGTGAAAGAATTTTCGATAAAGACAATTGTGACAGATATTGTTTTTTATTGCATACTCTGTTGGTAACTAAGCTGTTGAATATCATGCAGATACCAGACTTGCTGATTTGCTCCCAAAATATAGATGACGATGGCAGCACTTTATTACTGCATGTTTCAAAGGGGGACTTCACCAATACCGCCACTATCCCGCCGGAACACCAGTGACTGTTTTCTTAACTGACCTCAACTTACAGTCATTGACAGCTTAATGTGAGCTGCACCAAAGGTTAAATTTTTGGAACAGTCGCTCAGGATGTTTCAAGAGGTTTAAGAGCGAGACTGAGATGTGGAATACAGAATTGAATAGTAGCCCACAACTGCTCCAGTTATCGACAATTACGCTTATATTCTGTGAGATCTCAAAACTTCTCACCATATAGATGTGCTAAATTTTTCGTTTGGATTCCGTTAGTTGAAAGTTTGTGCTGGTCCGGATGGGAGGAGTTTAGAGGCTCAAGTGTACAGTCCTAAGTGTTTTTATGCACTGGATAGCATCGGCGAATGACAGATTCAATGCACTTTGCTGAGAGTAGGAAGTAATATCGGTACTTGAAAAAACCTCTTTAGAAAACACGAGTAACTGGTTTTTTGTAGATTAATGCAAAAGTGGTTTTATAACTACCGATACCGCCTAACGAATATACCTTCCTCAGAGGAAGTTCCTAGGTCTTTTACAATAAGGATGACGCATGTGCGATGGCGTAAGTGTGATGTTTGGTAAAACTCTCAAGGAAGACCTACCACTCCAAGCAAATCGACCCGGGATATGGCATTCAAGTCCTAGAACTGGACATGCTGGTTGAAATAAAAGTACTTCAAGTATTTATACATACTCAGATATAGGTGTGAGCAAAATGAGGTGAGCATACTTCATTCGAGTTAAAATTAAAATGAATTTCACTTGGCCTCCGTGTAAATTAACCCGGTTTTCAACTGTAATTCAAACTAAACAATGGTCTGCTCACTATCTTCTGGCGCGTCACATGGGAGAATAAAATTGGTTTTTATTTGTTCCATTAACTGAGCTGGATGAAAATCGGGCCGTTTGTGAATGACATCCCTTATCTGAGACATAATTGAATGTGACGCGTATATTTGGTAGGAAACAACGTGCAGCATTATTCCGGTTAAGTTGGTGTCTTATACATCTCCCCACTAGAAACCCGTCATTTCAAAACTTGACAGAGTGAAAATGAGGTCTTGATATTATTATGGGCCCTGAATTCGGTGAAGGCTGGCTTACCTGAGAGGCCTTTCCAACATGTGATTTGCAGAAGAGCAATAATCCAGAAAGCCTTTTGCAACATCGCGAAGCATAATGACAGTGTTCGTGCGCATGTATTTATGAAGAAGTTGAGTTGGCCTCCGATAAAATTTGCGCTAAACAACAAAGTAACAGTTGTCTTCAAAACTGGACAATCAAAGTCTATGGCTAAGCGCTAATATTATCCGCTACCTGGATGCACTGAAGTTCATGGAAGCTAACAGCTCTGGACACCTGTACAGAAATGCAACATCTAGAGAACTAATTGCATGACCTTCATTTCCAGGTTCAAATAATGCACGCGAAGCGAATTCCTCTGGGCACGTACTACGAAGCGTTGAACGGCATTTCATGCTAGGTTATTCAGATAGTCCAGTTAACAACCTTTTAGAAGGTCAATCACACTATGCCATATTACTTTCGGCGCAATTTCGGGGATCGATTCTCGAAGGTCTTGAGGCACTCGTCCAAAAAATTGAGGCTATTGACGGGGAACTGAAAACACACAAGCAGTAGCTAGTGCATACCCCCTTCATCTGTTCATTAGTTTAAGTCTTTTTAAACCGACGTGCCATTTATTTTCACTTTTTGGTACGCCTATCGAATTGGTTTATTCTTACGCATGGCATTGAATTTCAGTTTTACTTTGGAATTCCCTGCAGGCTGCTTTAGTTTTGGCTACTCGGGGTGCTACACGCAAACCAACTTTCTTCTGTTAGTGCGCTTGGGTACAGTGAAAAGCTAAATATAATCCAACAGTCTCCACGTTCTGTGTCAAATTTGAGACAGACATGGATTATATTACCAGTAGCATACAGAACAATCAATCGACAAACGGGAGTCTGTTCAATACTTAACAACCAAGCTGGACAGTTTTAGGGCGACTCGTTTGCGCCATCCGTAATTTCCTATTATACACACAGCAGACAATGGTGAATAAATATATAGCTCCATCAGCGGTTTATCATTTTGTCGATGGGAAATCGGGTAGTATCTGTGAGACAGCCCTACGTATGCCTCAAGAATGATAGTGTTTGGTTAATCAGATTTATTGCTTTCCCTTAAGTGAGGGAATCTCGGCATTTGAATTACCTCTTAATGAATCGGTTTTCACTTCATCCCTTCCTCAGCACAACATGAATTGCTTTGGGAGTTTCACGTAACGATGCAATATCTTTCTTCCCAAAATATGGATATGCTCCTCTACTCCGGTGTAATTTGTAAATTCAGACTTTGGTACGTTTTCCAATAAATACTTGGCTGACTAATTGAACGTGAGTGCGTAACGAAATTTGAGTGAACCGAGCTAGTCTTAAACAACGTAACTCGTCGTGAAATATGGGTCAGTCTTTCAGTTTGTCAGAACACCTGAAATCTTTTAGGAACGATCGGAGGAAATACTGCATGGGACAAGGAAGGCTGCTTACGGGCGATTACGCATTGATGTCGACAATGTTGAGATGTGACGTAGTGAAAGTAATGTGAATAACACCCCAGTGTCATCGGCAGCCTCTACAAGACCCTGGTACTATTTCACTGGTCAGGTCTGCCTAGCTAAATAAAGTAATACACATTGCGATGCAAATTATACCGAGGATCTGTGGTGTTTTGCAAATCAATGTTACATTTTCCCCATTTTCTACTCTCTTCATATAAACTTGAATTGCAATTTGTAAACACTGTACACGTATAAAGAAATTTTTTTATTTTACCAATAATTACATTAAAAGCAAAAATGGTGAAATACACAATTTCTTGGCGTTACATTTTCCCATTTTCTACTCTCTTCATATAAACTTGAATTGCAATTTGTAAACACTGTACACGTATAAAGAAATTTTTTTATTTTAACAAAAAAATTACATTAAAATCGAAAATGGTGAAATACACAGTTTCTTGGCGAGACTTCCCTGCTTTTTGCTGAGTCAGTGAAATTGCACCCGATTGAACTGATTGCTGTTTGCTGAAGTTGTGGGATTGGATTATTGTGTTTGTGTGTGAATTGTTGCACGTCACAGTAACTCCTTGTGACAATTTTCAGCTGTGATAACTTCCTACCGTGGAATTTACTTCTAGCACTCGAACTATCAGTGGAGAATATCCTTCTTACTCTGGATATATTCTTCCCCGCCGAATACGATTACTGCACAACATTTCATGTAGTGGGATTATTGGACCCCAAATTTAGTGAGTCTGTATGTGCTATTGTCCTTTTACTCGAAGTAATATCAGAAGGTGAAATAGCACTAACAATAAACAGTTATGTATAGTGGCTACCAGAGACACAAATTACAACTGAATAATGGACAAAAGAAGTATGAGACTTATCGAGTTCTTCGTTTGATAAGTTGTAGCCGATGCAGCCAATGTTTGTGGGACGCCGTTGAATTGAATGGGGTCTTGACCGAGTGTGTTGAAATCTGGCCTGTTCTTTGTCGTTTAATCCAAAACGATTTCGAGCCCAGACTTTTCCTGCACAGTGAGTCGTGCGTCGGCTTGAAATGGTCTGGTCAAGGCGCTGTGTGAACTGACAAGCGTCGGGCTGTGCGATCGTTGTTCCGCATATATATATATATATATATATATATATGTTTATGTTGTGAGTGAGGATGCGCTTGCATTGTTTGTCTTAGGATAAGATTCCAACACTCTTGGTTAGTCGTGGGGCGCATGTTCGTCATAATGCGGACAGGAATGAAACAGCGGGTGTGCATGCGTTGAACAGATTATATGAGTGGATGAAGGTAAACATTAATGAGATAGTAATCGGACTGTGAAAGCGGTTGAAGATAAACGTTGATGGGGTGGTAACCAAACTCTGGTAAAGTGGTCAAAGATAAACGTTGACAGGATGGTAACCAAACTCTGGTAAAGTGGTCGAAGATAAACGTTGAGGGGATGGTAACCAACAAATACTCTCCCGCTGGTAAAAGTGAAAAATAGTTTTCAATACAATGCAGAGATTGTTAAGTTGGGACGAAACGGTCTGGCCAGTGAACGTGTCTGCCAGAACGTGTGATGCGTGTGCTAGTAGTCGGAGTGAATTGGGCTGACGACGAGGTCGTTGTTGATTCCGTTGAGTCGGACTTAAACTTGCAGTTCGGTAATTCTGTCACTTTTGAGGGTGAATCAATACAATCAGTATAAGCTGGTTTCAGACGATCAATACTAACTGTATCAGTCTTATCACGTAACTGAATGGTGAAGTATCTGGGGTAACGACTTATAACTGCGAATGGACCCTCATAAGGAGGTTGTAATGGGTGTTTGACGCGGTCGCAGCGGATGAAAACGTGCGCACAAGTGGAGAGGTCAGGAGAAACATAGGACGGTTTGTTAACCATTGGTGGAGGATGATAGCGTAGACGCGACATGTGCGTTTTCAGTTGGGTGACGTATGTTAGTGAATCACAGGGAAAACTAGTTTCTGAAGAGAAAAACTGTCCTGGGATTCGTAATGATGTACCGAAAACTAACTCGGCTGGTGTACATTGTAGTGTGGAACGAAACATGGAGCGTAAATGAAGCAGAATAAGGGGGACCAGGTCACTCCAGTTGTTAGGTTCTTGATGAGCTTTGATGGCCGTTTTTAAGTGTCTATGAAAACGTTCAACTAAGCCATTAGCTTGTGGATGGTACGCGGTGGTGCGAATGCGTTTGCAACCTAGAAGTTCAGTTAATTGCCGGAAGAGTTGAGATTCGAACTGCGAACCACGGTCTGTTGTAATGCAAGAAGGAATACCGAATATAGAGATCCATCTGGTGACAAAAGCACGAGCAATCGTCGTCGCCGAGATATCCGGAATTGGAATGGCTTCAGGCCATCTTGTAAACCTATCGACGCAAGTTAGAAGATACGAACTGCCGTTGGATGGGGGAAGTGGACCAACAATGTCCAAGTGAACGTGATCGAATCGGCAGTCTGGTTGGGAGAAGGTGCCAACGGGTGCGTGAGTATGCCGAATGACTTTCGAACGTTGACAAGACAGACAAGTTTTTGCCCATGAACGGATATCTTTGTTCATATTCGGCCACACGAAACGTTGTGAAATGAGTTTGTTCGTTGCACGTATTCCTGGATGTGCTACATTATGTAGCGCGTCGAAAACGAGGCGACGCATTGCACATGGAACCAGGGGTCTTGGAACGGATGTGGAGAAATCACAGTCTATGGTGCCTGGTGCTGTTTGTAGTGGCACCGGTCTAATCTGTAGTGATGATTTGTCGGGTGATGGCAGTTTGACGGGCTCGTCCTTTTGTAGTTGCGCCATTCGCTGCAGATCGATCGTGGGTGCCGAGTGGAGTGAGTCAATTTCCGGACGAGATAAGGTGTCAGCTACGATGTTGAGATGTCCTGATATATGACGAATGTCACTGGTGAATTGAGAAATATAGTCAAGATGACGTATTTCGCGCGGTGAATATTTATCAGGCTTGGCTAGTAAGGCTGACGTTAACGGCTTGTGATCGGTATAGATGCAAAATTCGCGTCCTTCCAGCAAATGACGGAAATGGCGTATCGATAGGTAAATGGCTAACAATTCTCTACCAAATGTACTGTAACGTGATTCGGTGGGTGATAGTTTATGAGAAAAGAATGCAAGGGGCTGATAAGTACTGTCAATCATTTGTTGTAAAACAGCACCTACGGCGCCGTTGGAGGCGTCCACATTAAGTGATAAGACAGAGTTGGGTTGCAAATAAAATAACTTGAGAGAGTTCGCAAGGGAAGCTTTGACTTGTTCAAAAGCGGAAATAGCAGAATTAGTCAAATGAAACGTCTTTGGGTTTCCGGATAAAAGGTCACTGAGTGGTGCTAACAATGACGCAGCTTTGGGAACAAATCGTCTGTAAAAATTAATCATACCCAAAAAACGTTTAAGTTGCTTAAATGAGGTAGGTAGGGGAAAACTTCGGATAGCATCGAGCTTATCGTCAGTAGGCGCTATACCATCCTGACTAACCGTATGACCCAGAAAATTTAATGCAGATACACCAAAAATACATTTTTGTGTGTTGATAACAACACCATGGTTATGCAGT